GCATTTCTTACCTCCAGAACTGTAAAATAATCACTGTGTTGTTTTAAGACACAAAGGTCATAATAATTTATTACAGCAGCAAGAAGAAACTGATACAGTGTCCAAACATTTCTGATTGTACCATACTCATCAGCAAAAAATTTTCCACTGCACAGATTCATCATATATATTGTAGAGCAAACATAAACAGAAATTGAAAAGGATAAAGGGGATACAGGAAGTTTCAAAATGTATTTTTGTATGTATTTATGTACTAACAGTACAAAATACAAAACCCTTGTGGTTATCACTAAAATTATTTGCATAATAGTATTAATAAATTTTTAATCAGAGTGAAAAAAATAAATATTCTTTTTACTTAAGTGTTTGTACCTAGGTCAAAGTTTACCTTTAGGATAAATTCTCAGATGTTGGATAGTTGAGTTAAAAGGGGTATGCATTTTAAATTTTGTTAGATGTTGCCAAATTGCACGGAAGAGCCTTCCCAATTTCTTCTTGAGAGATTAAAAAAATTCTTCTTCTATTGCCAGAGGAAGTTGATCTTAGAAGTTAAAAAATCCCTCAACTTCTTTTTAGATAATTTGTATCATACTTAAAAATGTAAAAAGAAAAAAATCCTTAAGGAACCAATGATTTGGCTTTTCTCTTGAGTAACATGAGATGTTCAGATTCCGCCCTCTATATCAGCAAATTGCCCTGTAATCATCTGCAAATTGTTGGCACTTCACACACACATTAATGCATGTCAATGCAGAGTGTCCTGGGGCGGGGATGGGGTGGGTGGGGAATGTGAGTGGTGGGAGCACCAAAATACTATATCCAGGCAGTGCACAGAGTGAGTGTGATCTGTCAGTAAACCTCTAGAGCCTCTGGAGTTTGGAACCAACCACTCAAGGATATCCTGGATAATTTCAAAAGTAGAGTTTTTATGGGAAATTTAAAAAGAGTGCATGAATGTGTATGCGCGCGCGCATGCACACACACATATGCTTAAATTCCCTTCCTTTACAGTGAACACTAGGAAAAAGAGGCAGGATTCCTCAGCTACAGCTGACCATTATTTATGTCATTAGATTTTATGTCAGCTTGTTAGACACACAGTAAAAACCATCTCAACCACTTATTGTTGAACCTTAGATCAAGGGATAAAGTAAGAACAGGGGGAAACAAGACAGAAAAATTTCAGAGAGACACAAGGAGCCTTTATGTTCACTCCTGATGGGAATAAAGAGAACCTTCCCACAAAACTCAAATTCTGGGGAAGTAAGTTTTTCGTTTGCCATTCAGTTCACCATTGAATTATCGATGGATTGTGGCATCTGCTTGATGATTTCCTGCTTATAGTTCCTCTCTGCCCTAATTTCTCATCAGTGTTTTGTTTTTTTTTTCTCCTTTGTTGAAATGAGATTGGAAAAACCACATTCTGAAAATCGGGATGGCCAAAGATAATTCGAGATCATGACAGAGAAAAACTTTGTTAAACTTCAAACTCTTCAAAGAAAGTTATTAAATAGGTACTATGCATCATTAAATATTCTGGGATGGGATCACAATGACCAAAATCAATGTTCAAGCTCTAAACCTTTTAAAAAGTTGACTTTATTTAACATGCTTTGCCATATTGTCTCCATTTGTCATCAAACCAAGGATAACCCACTCACTCCCAGTGATGGAAAATTTAAGGGCTAAAATCAGTAGCCACACCAAGAACCCCAGGAACAAAACAGGTGGGTCTTCCCTATTGTTCCTTTTCTAACAATCAACCAATTAATATTTGTTGATGACTGTCTCCACACCATCATGCTAGCTTAGCTTCTGCAAAACCCTACAAACATCAGCAGGTTTCAGAAAAGAAGACAAAGGAACAAAACTCAGTGATACCTACTGACATTCTAATGTATTGCCGCCACGTTATTTAATGTTGATAAGCCAAAACCATCTTGTAAAAGAGAAGATGTGCATAGCAGGTCTGGGGAATGAATGAATGAATCCATAGGCTGGTGCGTTAGTTGCATAGGGATGTTACACACCAAGTTTTGTGGCCACAGAGGGGTCAGGACATGGACTCTGTCACATGTTGCTCATAGCACAGGTGGGATCGATATCAAGGTTGTGGACATTTATTGTTTTTACTCATCCAGTGCCTCTTCTGTCTTCTTGTAGTTACAGTGCTCTGGGTTTTTTGAGGTGATCACCTCTTCCTCGCTCTCAGTCCCTCGTGGTTGAGGTGAGACTGACCCCAACTCTAGCTCCAGCCATAGGCATGAGCCCAAAGTCTGCTGCTTCATCCAGCATTCCTTTCCACTGACCACAGAGATTGGTTTGGGGATGAGCATGTGATATAAGCTGGGCCAATGGGAGCTTTACTTGGGACTTTTGCAGGAATGGCTAAGAAGGAGGCATTATGTTTGCTGGGGTGGATTAGCAGACAGGATTGAGCTCTTGGTAATTGGTGGCCATCTTTGCCACCATACGGGAGGAGCTTGGCTGAGAATGAAATGAACCCAGGAAAATTCAGAGCCAGAAGGAAGAGAGAGACAAAGTCTCAACTTTATCATTGGAACACCTAGACCTAGCCCTAAACCCTTGAACATCTTGGTTAGAAATGCCTAAAAATTCATTTGTTTTTTCTAAAACTAGTTTGAATTGGATTTTCTATATCTTTTGAAGCCAAAAAATCTTGGCTAATCAAAAGGGTTTCCTAAAACTGTTGTGCCATCAGAAACAAACATTCTTAAAGACAACTCTATTAAATGGGCAAAGGACATGAACAGACACTGCTCAAAAGAAAACATACATGCAGCCAACAAGCATATGAAAATATAATATCACTAGTCATTAGGGAAATGCAAATCGAAACCACAATGATATACCATCTCATACCAATCAGAATGGCTATCATTAAAAAGTCACAAAATAACAGATGCTGGCAAGGTTACAGAGAAAAGAGAATGCTTATACATTGTTCATGGGAATGTAAATTAGTTCAGCCACTGTGGAAAGCAGCCTGAAGATTTCTCAAGGAACTTAAAATGAAACTACCATTTGACTCAGCAATCCCACTACTGGGTATATATCCAAAGGAATATAAATTTTTCTACCATAAAGACACATGAATGTATATGTTCATTGCAGCACTATTCACAATAGCAAAGACATGGAATCAACCTAGATGCCCATCAATGGTGAACTGGATAAAGAAAATGTGATATATATAAACCATGGAATACTATGCAGCCATAAAAAATAAGATCATGTCCTTTGAAGCAACATGGATAGGGCTGGAGATCATTATCCTAAGTGAATGAATACAGGAACAGAAAACCAAATACCACATGTTTTTACTTATAAGTGGGAGCTAAACATTGAGTACACACGGATACAAAGAAGGGAACAATAGACCCAAGGACCTACTTGAGGGTGGAGGATGGAAGGAAGGTGAGGACTGGAAAACTACCTAGTGGGTACTATGCTGATTACCTGGATGACAGAATTATCTGTACACTAAACCTCCGTGACATGCAATTTGCCCATGTAACAAACCTGCATGTGTACCCCCGAACCTAAAATAAAAGTTGAAAGAAAAAAAAATGAACATGCTTCAGGATGTTTTGAAGGATTCTGTAATTCTTGAGGACCCTGAGTTGCTATACTTGAACCCCTCTTAGACAAAGAATCAATATTTGAAGGCCTCTGCCCTTCTGTTCTCAAATGGGTTTTAGATAACCTATTCCTGGCTGTGTACGGCCAGTGCATAGCAGGAGTGCTGGTTATGGGGGCCAACAAACTGGGGTTTGGATCCCAGCTCCGCCAATGACTAGCAAGCTCCTTATCATTCTCATCTTCATTGTTCTTATCTAGAAAAACGGTGGGGATAATATCAACCTGTTTTTGTGAGGATTATGCCTCTCCTTATCGCAGTTTTTAACGAGGTATTTGTATGATTATTCGATTCCTGTCTGCAAAGCTTAACTCTACATTGCACTTTATTTCCCAAACTAAAGGGAGGGCCTGAAATGCAGCAGGTGCTTAACAAATATTTGCTGAATAAATATATAAGTCAGTGATTAGAGAAGATCACACAGGTATATGCTTAGCACGAACCAGATGGGTAATATTTTATTATTTATTTAATTTTTTGAGATGGAGTTTCACTCTTGTTGCCCAAGCTGGAGTGCAATGGTGCGATCTTGGCTCACTGCAACCTCTGCTTCCCAGGTTCAAGTGATTCTCCTACCTCAGCCTCCCTAATAGCTGGGATTATAGGTGTCTGCCACCACTCAGGCTAATTTTTGTATTTTTAGTAGAGACAGGGTTTTACCATGTTGGTCAGGCTGGTCTCGAACTCCTTACCTCAGGTGATCCACCCACCTCTGCCTCCCAAAGTGCTGGGATTACATGTGTGAGCCACTGCACCTGGCCAGTAATATTATACATACTACCGGACTCATCAACTCCAAGGCCTACATGGTTCAGGCAGTAATGAACATGGGGTAAGCTGGCTAGATGTGGAATTGGGTGGGTCCTTTCTAAAAAGAGCAGACACACTTAGTTTTAACCAAGTGATGTTCCTTGGGAATGTGGCTACTATGGCCAGACCTTCTTTCAAAAGAAGCCAGAAAATAGAATTTTTAGGTATTAATAAAATTTTCTGACTTTTAAACACAAATGCAATTAAACACACGCACAAACAGGCCAACAAAACATGTCTGAGAGATGGATTTAGTCCTTGGGTAGCCTGTTTGTTACAACCGGGACCCATATCCGGGTCCCTCCCTCATAGAAGCTGTCAGGCCACATCCATGAATGACCCTTGGGTAACCTGTTTGTTACAACCAGGACCCATGTCTGGGTCCCTCCTTCATAGAAGCTGTCAGGCCACAACCCTGAATGACCCTTGGGTAACCTGTTTGTTACAACCAGGCCCCATGTCCAGGTCCCTCCCTCATAGAAGCTCTCAGGCCACAACCATGAATGGCCCCACCAGTGCCTGCACCTACCGGCAAGTGACTCGGAACTCTGGTTGGGGACGTTGTGAGATGCCTCCTGGAGGACGTAGGTGGACGTGGACAGGGGCGAAGGGCAGATGCTGCTGGCCGGGACGTAGGGAGGGTTGTAGGATGAGCCGTAATACTGGGGGTACTGGCTCTGGGGGAAGCCAGGGTAGGAAGGATAGTCCTGGGAAGAGAAAAACAAACCAAGGACATGTGTGAGGAAGCCTTTCTGGGCTCGGGTCGTTGGTCAGCCTGGCCGCCGTCAAATCAAAACGGTTTCCTAAAACTTCTGTGCCATCAGAAACAAACATTAGAATCCATTCGAATAAAAGCTCTCTGTGGGCAGGAACTGTCTTCATTTTGGTTTCCCAGAAGCAGATCCTGGGGCAAGGATTCCAGTGCAAGGCGACTGTTTGGAAGGTGAAGAAGACACCAGCAGGGGAGTGGGGAAGTGAGACAGCAGATGCGGGACAGCAGCCTGCACAGGTGCTCCTGTGGTGGTGACCAGAGATGAGCCCTATGAGGAAAAGCTGAGATGGTCTAAAATCCACATCTCAGAACTGCCTCTCCCACAGGTCAAGGGAGTGGAGTGGTTTATACATCAACTTGTCGGTCTTTGAGAGCTGCTCCCAGGGGGCTTTAATTCCCAGGCACTTCCTGCCTGCCCCATGCACTGGTTCTAGAAAAGCCCCTCAGGCCCAGGCATGCAGATGCTGGCACCTGGAGGTCCGCAGGCCACCCTAAGGGATATAGACGTGGCCCTGACGGCACCTATCCTGGTCACTGTTGTATCCTCTGCACCTGAAACTGCCTGGTATATGTAGTAACTCAACAAATACTACTGGTCAAATTAATAAACAAATGCATTAACAATTAAGACCACACACACACCCACCCCCCGCATGACACACACACAAACCGAGAAGACCACACCCACACCCACACGACACACACACAAACCCAGGAGACGAGGTGACATTTTATGTTCATGGGGAGGAGGTGCAAATATATGGGGAGGAGGTACAAATACAGCAGCACCTGCACAGCATTAGGGGTCTGGAATATTCTATGAGGGAGTCATGGAGATCAATTCAATAGCTGCCAATCACCTTTGATCAAGCTTTGTTTAAGCAGACCAGGGATTCCGATTCTCCAACAGTCATTGTTTCAAATATCCTGCTCCACTATCACCAAACCAGTGCATCTCAACTCTGCATGGAACTCACAGAATGTTCTGTTTCCTGGGCTCCGCCCCAGAGCTAGGAGTCAGAGTTCCTGGGGGTGGGGCAGGGGCGGTCAGTGTTTTTGAAAAACACAGATTTAATGATGAAATGGAGGGTTAGGAACCACATCTTAAAAAGTACTGTTTTATTTACAAGTATTTTATCTATGTACATAGTACATTAGAAATAATGCAAAAATACATGAAACAATTTTTACATTTGCTAAGTTTTAAATTATCTAGATTCTCACTGGAAAGAAATTGTGTGGTCCTCAGACCTAAATATGTTAAATATTCCTAAAGCCCATCTACCCCAGGGTGGTTCTATTTTAATGGTAGCCTGAAAGCAAGTGAACCTTTTGTTTTGAAATAATTTTAGGTTTACATGGAAGGTGTATACACAGCAGAGTTACTGCACACCTTTAGCTGATGTGAATTCTTAATTCACTTTGTAAGTGACACCAAGAGAATCAAAGTACTAGCCAACATTCACCTACATAGAGTTGACTTTGCTCGATTTAACAAGTATTTATAAAGCCCTCATTGTGCGCTGGGCTCTCACCACTGGGGATGCAGAGGTGAGCAAGACATACGGTCCCCCTTGAGAAGCCCATGGTCTGGTGAAAGACCCACCCATTTGTATTGATATATACCAGATTCAATAGTCAATGGGTGTCTTGGGCCCAGGTCAAGATGGAACATACTTGTAGATCTCCATGACATCTCAGGAATCTTCTAACAATTCCTACGTATCTGCCTGTATGCTGTGTCCTTCCAGCGGCCTTTTGCACAATCTAGCTCCTGTAGTCTCCAAACCCGGGGAATAAGAGGCAGGTTCCCAATGGGGATTGTGTGTGTCATGGGCTCTCTGGGTGCCTTGATGTAAAGGGAATATTTCCAGAAAGAACTAAGGAAAGAATCGGGAGGGAGCCGTCTACCTGGTGCACACTCCCAAATCCGGCTGCGTTGCCCAGTCCATTTCCTCCTTGATAGAACCCTGTCGTGCCTGTAGGAAGGAGGAACAGGGGTATAGGTTAGGTTTCTTTTCTTTCTTTCTTCCTTTTTTTTTTTTTTTAAAAGCAGTTTTCATGAACCTCCCTCCATGTGGCTTCAAGGGTGACAGCTGGGCAGAAGCTCTGGTTCCCAGTAGTATTGCCTCACAGCAGCCTTCCCAAAGCAACCCGGGTAATACTTGTTGACACTAGTCCTCTGGCAATGCCTGCCACCAGCATCACCACGGCCTCCTGGGTGCTTCCGAGTGCTTGCTCTTGAGACTGTCATTGTGGCTCACGTGGCCCCTAAGTCTCTGGGTCTTTCTCTGTCCGGATGGAATGTTGGTGGCCCAGACCCAAGAGCCAGATTAGGTTTCTTACAGTCGGAGAGGAACATGTAGGAGGAGGGTGCCACGAACAGGTGGGGTCTTTGAGATCTGACAGTCTGCGATGGAACCTGTGACTTTGGTTACTAAATTTCTCTGAACCTCAGTTTCCTGGATAGATGAGGAAAATAAATGGTGTCCTTTTCAAAGGGCTGTGGTGAGAAATAAGTGAGATAGTGCCCACTACCCGGATCCTGGTCCTTAATTATGTTTTTAAAAAATTTGAGGCCAGGTGTGTGGTGGCCTCAAATTTCTCTGTAATTCCAATGCTTTGGGAGGCTGAGGTGGGAGGATCGCTTGAGCCCAGGAATTTGGTCATTTAAGTGTTTCACTTTTTAAAGAAATGGCCAAACTGTTTTCCAAAGTGGCTGTGCCATTTGCATTCTCACTAGGAATGCATGAGAGTTCTAGATTCTCCAGCACATGGTAGTTTCAATCTTCTTGATTATGGCCTCTCTAATAGTCTGGTCAACATAGTGAGATGTTGTCTCTACAAAGAATTTAAAAAATTGGCTGGGCACAGGGGCTCACGTCTGTAATCCCAGCACTTTGAGAGGCCGAGGCGGGAGGATCAGGAGGTCAGGAGTTCAAGACCAACCTGGCCAACATGGTGAAATTCTGTCTCTACTAAAAATACAAAAATTAGCCAGGCATGGTGGTGGGCGCCTGTAATCCCAGCTACTCAGGAGGCTGAGGCAGGAGAACTGCTTGAACTCGGGAGGCGGAGGTTGCAGTGAGCTGAGATTGTGCCATTGCACTCCAGCTCTGGGTAACAGAGCAAGACTCCATCTTGGAAAAAATAAATAAATAAATAAATAAAATTGCCAGATGTGGTGGTGCATGCCTGTAGTTCCAGCTACTTGGGAGGCTGAGGTGGGGGGATTGCTTGAACCTAGGAGTTTGAGGCTGCAGTAAACTATAGTCTCACCACTGCACTCCAGCCTGCACATCAGGGCAAGACCCTGTCTCTAGAAAACAGTAAATAAAAACAAAAAGTATTTGTTTAAAAAATTGTGGTATATATACAACATAAAATTTACCATCTTCACCATTTTAAAGTGTACAGTTCAGTGGCATTAACTACATCCACATTATGGGATACTCATCATCATCATTCATGTTCAGAACATTTTTCATCTTGTAAAATTGGAACTATGTACCCATCAAACAACAATGCACAATGGCATAGATGTGCAACATCCAATATTGGGCCATTATGGATAATGCAATATAAGCATTCACATACAAGTCTTTGTATGGATATATATTTTCATTTCTCTTGGGTAAATCCCTAAGAGTAGAATTATGGAGTTGTGTGTAAGCTTATGTTTACCTTTTAAAAGAAATGGCCAAACTGCTTTCCAAAGTGGCTGTGCCATTTTACACTCTGACTGGTAATGCACAAGAGTTCTAGATTCTCCGGCACTTGGTCACTTCAGTCTTCTTGATTACAGCCACTCTAGTAAGTATGTGGTTGTATCTCACTGTGGTTTTAAGTACATTTCTCCAGTGACATGACTAATGGTGTTGGGCATTTTTCATGTGCTTTTTAGCTATTCACATATCTTTTGGATGAAATATCTACTCAAATCTTTTTCCCATCAAATCCTAGTCAAATCTTTTTAAAAAATTAGGGCGAGGCGTGGTAGCTCATGCCTGTAATCCCAGCACTTTGGGAGGCCGAGGTGGGTGGATCACAAGGTCAGGAGATGGAGACCATCCTGGCTAACACGGTGAAACCCCGTCTCTACTAAAAGTACAAAAAATTAGCCGGGTGTGTTGGCGGGCGCCTGTAGTCCCAGCTACCTGGGAGGCTGAGGCAGGAGAATGGCGTGAACCCGGGATATGGAGCTTGCAGTGAGCAGAGATCTCGCCACAGCACTCCAGCCTGGGCAACAGAGCGAGACTCCATTTCAAAAAAAAAAAAAAAATTAGGTTTGCCCTCTTATTACTGTTATAAGAGTTCTTTATATACTTTGGACACAAGTCCTTGATCAGATACATGATTTGTGAATATTATCTCCCAGTTTGTGGCTTGTCTTTTTCTTAATGGTGTCTTTTGAAGAGCAAAAGATTCTTTTCTTTGATGGATTTTGCTTTTGTTGCCTAACTCAAGGTCACAAAGATCTGCTCTTGTGTTTTCTTCTAGAAATTTCATAGTATTAGTTCTTATATTTCAGTCTATGATCCAATTTAAGTTAATCTTTGTGTATAGTGTGGAATAAGGGCTTAAATTCATCTTTTCATATATGTATGTGCATACACACACACACAAGTTGTTCTAGGACCACTATAAAAACTCTATCCTTTCCCCCACTGAATTATTCTATTATTTTTTAAAATTTTTGTGGGTAGACAGTAGGTGTATATATTTCTGGGGTACATGAGATGTTTTGATACAGGGATGAAATATGAAATAAACACATCATGGAGAGGGGGGTATTCATTTCCTCCCCCACTGAATTACTTGGCACCATTGCCAAAGATAAACTGACCATAAATGAGACTTAAAGACCATAACTGGACTTTATTCTGTTTCACTGATTTATCTATCCAATACCAATTCCATCCTATCCTTATTACTGAAGCTTTATGGTGAATTTTTTTTTTTTTTTGAAACAGAATCTTGCTCTTCTCACCCAGGCTAGAGTGCAGTGGCGCCATCTTGGCTCACGGCAACCTCTACCTCCTGGGTTCAAGTGATTGTCCTGCCTCAGCCTCCCAAGTAGCTGGGATTACAGGTGCCCACCACTACGCCCAGCTAATTGTATTTTTAGTAGAGATGGGGTTTTACCACGTTGGCCAGGCTGTCTTCAACTCCTGACCTCAGGTGATCCGCCTGCCTCAGCCTCCCAAAGTGTTGGGATTACAGACATGAGCCACTGCGCCTGGCTTATGGTGAGTTTTGAAATCAGGTAGTATAAGTTCTCCAACTTTGTTCTTTTTCAAGGTTGTTTTGGCTTTTAGTTACTTTGCATGTCAGTTTCTACCAAATGCTATCTGGGATTTTGGTAGCAATTGGACTGAATCAATGGACTTCTTTTATGAGATGAGGTCAGATGAGAAAGTTGGGGCTGGATGCTTCAGGACCTGGAAGCCTGGAAGGTGGTTTGCATCTGCTGAAGGGGCATGGACTGCTGTCAGAGGTTTGAAAGCAGCGACTGGCACAACTCCAGGCACATCTCTAAACATTCACATTAGTTGCTGGTTAGAAAACAAATGGCTACTCAAATGAGCGGTGACCTACATCAAACAAGAAGCTTTTAGAGTCCAAGGCTACTTTTTATAAAGTGGCTGAAATAAGCACAATGGATTCCAGGAAACTTACTTCCCAGGGGTAAGGTAGGAGAAGATAAGAGGACAATAAACGAACCACAACACCTCTACAATTATCCAAGATGATGGATCCATCAGGACCATAGGATCTCAACTCTTGCTCTGCATCAGAATCTCCCAAAGAACTTGAAACAAAAAACAAAACAAAACAAAAAACAGTCTGAGGGCCCTTCCCACAGAGAGTCTGATTTGAGTTAGTCTGAAGTTGGGCCAGGCATCAGTATATGAAAACAACAACAACAACAACAACAACAACAACAACAACAACAACAAACCTTTCTGGGAGATTCTAGTGCACACTGAGAATTGAGAACCAATAGTCCATGACAAATTCTTTATGGTCCAAATGGGGAGACTGAGGCACAAAGAGGGAATGCAAACAGTGCTGTTCCTGTGCTTTGGTCTTGGCAGCAGAGAAGGCCTTGAGCCTGTCTCCTGCTTCCCAGCTCAGGGCCTTTCCATGGCAGCACATGACTTCTCTACACAAAGACACCGAGGTCATTAATTAGTTCATTAATTCATGCATGCATTCATCTATTCATTCCACTGAGATTATTGAGTGCTTTATGCACCAAGCACTGTATTAGGCACTTCACTTTGTATACAACTGCACTTAATCCTCACATCAATCCTGAGAGGAAGGTATGTAATTGCCAATCCTATGTTCTATACAGAGAAACTGAGGCTTAGGAATGGAGCTCTTCCCAAGTCATAGAGCTGGTAGGCTGTGGAGCTCAGATTAATTCTTTTATTCATTCATTTATTAATCAAACAAAATGTGTCAGAATAAGGGAGAAAGAATAGGAATGACAGCAGATTTCTCATCAGGAACCATGGAGGCCAGAAGAAAATGGCACAACATTTTTCAAGGGCTTAAGGAAAAGAAACATCAACTCAGAATGCTATATCCAGACACAACATCCTTCAGGAATGAAGGGAAAATCAACACATTCTCAAATGAAGGAAAACCAAGAGAATTTGTTACAGCAGCTCTACCCAGAAAGAATGGGTACAGGAAATTCTTCTCATAGAAAGGAAAGGATAAAAAAGCTGGGAACATCAGGAAGGAAGAAAGAAAAAGGAAAAGAATAAAAATATGTGTAAATAAAGTCACTTAAGATAGTTCCTCTCTATGTGGTTGTGCCAGTGGCTCAATATACAATTTGGTTCATTTGTTACATTAAAACTTTTTAAAAATTTAAACATTTTTAATTTTTGTGGGTACATACTAGGTGTATATATTTATGGGTTACATGCGCTATTTTGATAGAGACATGCAATGTGTAATAATC